GGTGAGACATGGCCTCGTGCGGGTGAGTCTGGCGCGCGGCGGCCCAGAATCCTGGACCCCAGGAAAAGCGCCTACGGCCTCGACGGGTGGGCGTGGCGAGATGCCACCCGGGACCTCCTCGCGCTCAGACCTGGGGTCCCGGACTCCTGCCCTCCTCCACCCTCAGGCCCTGCCGGGACACTCTGGTCCCTGGCCCGCCGGGCCTGGCCTGAGTCAGGCGGGTGGAAAGGGCTGCAGAGGTTGGGCCTAGGTGAGGGTCAGCAGCACCCGTACCCGGGGGAAGGTGCCTTGTGGGTGGCGGGCACAGCCTCTCCCTCTGTCCTCTTACCCCGTGCCCTGCTCCAGACTCCCTTTTTGGCCACCGGGGATGCAGTCTGTTGGGGGGCACCCCACTTTTCCTAGTCCTGAAACTGAGGCAGCAACACCAGGGGATCCTGGAGGTGAAGCCCTCTGCCCTCCCCACCCAGGCGTGGCCTGCCCACCTACCAGGACCCGGTTCTCTGGGGGACTCACTTCCCTTCCAGACCCCCCGGGGCCCAGTGTGGAGGGTGGATCCCTGTCTGGTCGCGGGGCTCAGGGCCGGGGGTGCGTGGGAGCTGGGACGGGCCGCAGGTCGGGCCTGCTTCCTGCCTCCAGAGAGGGGGTGGTACGTGTACGGCAGCCGGGCACTTCCTGCCCTTTCTGCTTGACCCCTGCACCCTCCGCGTGTGCCCACGCATGCAGGCTCACCCTGCAGCGTGCATTGGCGGTCAGCCGGGAGCTTCGGAGGTGACAGCCACTCGTCACCACTTCCCAGCTCCAGGCGCAGCACCCAGAGCCCCCTCCTCTGGAGCTTGAGGCTTGGTGAACCTGCAGCTCACAGCAGTTGCTCTGTGACCCTGAGTGACCCCCAGGTCCATGAAGGAACCAACAGGGCTCACAGGTCTTCTCCCAGCCTGAGCTCAAGGTCCATAACCCAAAGTAGAGACCCTTGACCCACCCTGCCCAGCAGTGCCCCAGCAGGCAGGGGCCTGGATCGCTAGGGCAGAGGCCCAGGTGTGTGGGGGACCCAGGCAGCCTCCAGCAGGGTCTTGGGCTTCTCAGGCGTGGAAACAGTGGACTGAGTTGGATCACTGAGAATCTGTCCGCCCAAAACCCCGTGCCTGTCATGTTCAGCGTCCAGCCGGAACCCAGGAAGGAGGGGGCTGCCTGTGTACTGTCCATTTCAGGCACTGGTTGG